CATAGCAAAACATTAAAATAACCTCCTGCTGCCGGCAACAGTCTTTAATTTTTTGAAATGCAAGAAAACTGCCCATTGGCTAATGCATCAAAAACAAGGCCTTGGAAAGGATTTCCTATAGCCATTCATCTGCTTTCTGTGTTAACATGAAAGGAATTGCTAGGGGATTAAAAAAAAAACCTTCAAATTTTTTCAAATTGAAATAGTTCAGATGACTCCAGGAAGCTTCCAGTTTAAAGTGCAATGTAAGCGTCCTTCAGTTGTACAGTACCTTATATTTTTCATATCTGCCAATTTTATGGAAGATAAACAAATTAATTTGCAATGTAAGTAAGCCATGAAATTGCAGATCAGCTTTAAATAAATTTAAAAACAAATCACAATTTCACAGTATTCCAAATAAAAATGTCTATGATTTCACGTCCATAAATCTAGTTCAGCTAAAATTAAAAATATAAGGTACTGTACAACTGAAGGACGCTTTCAGTTATTCACTTTAAACTGGAAGCTTCCTGGAGTCATCTGAACTATTTCAATTTGAAAAATTTTGAAGGTTTTTTTTTTAATCCCCTAGCAATTCCTTTCATGTTAACACAGAAAGCAGATGAATGGCTATAGGAAATCCTTTCCAAGGCCTTGTTTTTGATGCATTAGCCAATGGGCAGTTTTCTTGCATTTCAAAAAATTAAAGACTATTGCCGGCAGCAGGATGTTTTTAATGTTTTGCTATGCTCTGAAATTCAAGGCAAAGTATGTGAATGGCATCCAATGATCAATCAACAAATAATAGGGGGGGATCAATGCATTAAAATGTGCAAGGATGAATTAGTGCATGCCCTATCTATAATTATAAATTACTTTATCCTGGCCTGTCAGTAATGGAATTAGCAATCCCTATCCTCTCTCGCCTCACCCCTCACCTCGTGGGAAGGTTGTCCCCCCCACCCCCGCCGCCATGCTTACGACCACAACCCAAGCTGGCATGTGGGAATGCCGCAGTCACGTGAAATGAAAAAGGGGAGGAAAGACAACGCGATCCCACTGAAAGGCTCTCATCCCCTCCGAAGAGATCTGTCTATATGGCTCGCTTCGAAGAGCGAGACAGGGTTAAAGAAAGAGGGAGCCCTGAGTAAAGGAAATTGGACGAGGACAAAAAAGAAGAAGGAGGAGGAGGAGGAGCAGAGGGGACTTCGCAACTTTGCACAGATCTTCTGGCCAAATGAAAGCTACACGCATCCAGCATAGCCCCGCATGAACATATGAATGGAGCCTGCCCACCCGTCAGATCGCGCCTCGGACCGCCCACCCTGTGTGCCGCTTGCTCCTGCAGAAAGTGGACAATCTCCCGCTTGGGCAGCTCCTCGCTCCGCAGCTCCTCCAGGCTCCAAGGACGCGCGCGGTCCGCCATTACATCGCCTTACTAGCGGAAAGTCCGGGAACCCTTCAGCCGCCCCTCACAAGCCTCACAGCACGAAATGCAATTCCAGCACGCTTAGCGCGCCACGCCGCCTCCATCCATACGCGATTCCGTACGTCTCTTCCCGCTGGGCATGCTGGATAGCGTAGTTCTACCCGAGAAAGCAGAGGCTCCTGTTACGTGATTGGGTGGACGCAAAAGCCAGACCGGTGGAGCAATTTCTGATGCATGCTGAGTATTGTAGTAGGTGGATGGATGGATTGCTAAATATAAAGAAAGAAAAGCAAGGAAGAGAAAGAAAGAAAGAAAGAAAGAAAGAAAGAAAGAAAGAAAGAAAGAAAGAAAGAAAGAAAGAAA